TCCCCCCCTCCTCCCCAGCCCCCGCCGGCCAATTACCTCCCCGTCAGTCTGTCACACTTTGTAGCGCAATAAAGGCGTGCTCACGCCTTTATCCCCTTGATAAAGCGCAACAATTAAGGCTCATGTCTCTTTGCTCAGGCCCCTTTGATGGCGCACAAAAAAGGGAGGCCGAAAGGGACGCTGGGGACGCTCACGTTAGACACCGACGCCATACGGGATGGGCGCACGTCGAGTAGAGTGCGGCGAGAAAATCGGAAATCAGAAATAATGACACTTTGCGCAGTGACAATTGTTGGTTGCGTATACGCATCCGATTGCCAAAACGAAGGGCTGTTCAGCCGTGGTGCCGAAAACAAAAAATGCATTCAAGAACAAAGCAAGAGCGAGAGAAAGAGAGACAAAAGACAATCATGGGAAAATGTAAGACGGGAAACGTGTCCTTAAAATGAAAAGATATGAACCGCGGCATCATGATTAGAAAAAGAAAAGCTTGATTTGTTTCACAATGGAGAAATTCGCAATTAACAGCAGCAACATTTGGAAGGAAGAAAGTAGAAAAACAAAATGGATTGGCATGTGCAAAAATACATGTCAAAAATGAACTGTATACAGGACAGAATGCAATCGCAAATGTCGATATAAGCACATATGCATCTGCAAAGGCGGCTGTGCTATTTCAAATGAAAACACAAACTCTGATTGCATTGAGTTGAAAAATCAAAATGGATAGCGAACATTACTTGCACTCATTTTCAAGGTCATTTTGGGGGCGGAAATGAAAATCAACGCGGTTGGAGTCGATTGAATTTCTTGAGACGTTGAGAAGAAACATTGAGGTGCTAAATGCCGCTTGACCGCGTTGGATCGTTGGCAAGAAAAGCACGCACCCCCAACTTTGTGTTGGCGTTGTCCTGCTTTCACTGGACAGCGGCGAGAGGTCGCAATGTGATGAATGAAATGGACAAGCGCCAGAAAAGCCACCGCCTTCTCCAGCCCGAGGACTTTGTCCAAAAGGAGGCGTCGGCTCAGGTCTCGGGAGGGGGAGGCGCGGGAGGGGTTGAGTGATTTTTTTTTCAACTCTGACCTCAGCTCGCAAACAAACACGCCCCTTCGTTTTGGCCGCTCATTCACGAGCCGGCCGGCCTGGATTGATGGACGGCCATCGCCACGGCAACGGCGCCATTGGGCGGACTCGCCGGCCAAAGCACAAACAGAAGGCCGCGGCCTTGCGAAGAGCTGCCCGCCCGCCGAAGCCTCCATCCGGGGAGTGAACGTGTCCATTTGAACGGACAAACAAGAGTCGGTCGGCGGGAGAAACGGGAACGCGAAAAGTGATTGAAATGTTGCGGCTAATTACAGAGCGAAAGACAAAAACAAGATGGAAAAATCCCAGCGGGATGCCGGCGACACAATGCAACGCTCTCGCTCGGTGAGCTGCTCCAGCTGCGTGCCGCCGCGGAGCCCAGAAAAACCAACGCCCGCCATTTAGCGGCAAACACCTGCGCAATCTAATGAGATCGGCGACAACCGCCGGATGATCCGAGCCACGTTTGCTCGTCGTCTTCAAATCAATCGGGCCATTTCTTTTGACGTCGACGTGATATAGAACGTGCATGCCTTGATCTGGAAGCGGCTCAAAGGTGGCGCTACCGAGACGTCGTTCAGGCTTTGATATGTCACCTATATCTTCCCAGATCGACCAAAAAAAAAAACAACATTTTCATGAAGAAAACAACAGCAGACGAGCCCTCCTAGTGGCTGCGCTCAAGATGAATCCAGGGGTGGACACTGGTGTGTTGCATACGCAGATACCCGCGGTTCCCGTTATGGTCCAATCGGGGTCAAGACCATGAAAGACGGAGCCACACGACAGCATCTAAGTCGAGCCTTCACAGCATCAAGAACACGGCAGAGTGGAAGTTTAGTCCGCACGAGACTTTTTAGACACTAACTCCAAGAGACTCTCTCGGTCCTTCAGTAAAAGTGCTGCTGTTTTGGTTAGCCACTGTGACGATCGCGCACGCGTTTCACCCCGCGCCGGCATCCCCGCGCGCGACCCGGCTCGCAGCGGTCCCTTTTCGGAACGCAGGGCCGATCTTATTTTGCGCTGCTCCGGGATCCCGTTGGATGTCTAAAACAGACAGCTGCATTGCTCGAAAGACACGTGAAAAGAATCAAAAGAACGAGCTGCAGTGCGTTTGCGCTCCCTGTCAAAGAGTTCATTGAACGCAGGGCCGATCTTATTTTGCGCCGCTCCGGGATCCCGTTTGTCTAAAACAGACAGGGCATTGCTCAAAAGACACGTGAAAAGAATCAAAAGAACGATTTGCAGTGCGTTTGCGCTCCCTGTCAAAGAGTTCATTTCATTCCCAAGTGACAGCGGGCTGAATTCAAGGATGGAGCGTGCCGACGAGGTCCGCTTCCGCACTTTGCCTCCCCTTCTTTTCAACTGCGCCACCCCCAGAAAAGTCCACGTTTGCATCAGATCCATCCGCTATGCGTGACCGAGTTCAAATGGGACTCAAAATAAGCGGCGCCATTTTTCTTCGATGAAGTGAAGTCCAAGTTTCTTGTCAAATGCGCATACAGCGCAGATGAAATGTCTTCCCTCTCAAAATGACGCAGGTTGACTGTGAATGAGATTTTTGTTTGTATGCATTTTGGTTTGTCAAAGATCTATTTGCAAAATACCTTATTGTGACTCTTTTAATGAACTCTTCGAAAAAGCCGAGCTGTTTATTTGGTGACGCTCCCAACTCATGAAGACATGGAATCGCATGACGCGCCCGGATTTTCATTTTGCTTGTGAGCCGACCGGGCTCATTTCCTCGTGTGCGCTGCCACCGCGCGGTCGCCTTGAAACAAAACAGCACAATACAGCGCAGCGCAGCACTGCACTGGACTTGCCGGGCGCTGATTTGAATGTCATCAAATCTCGGGCCGCTAGAGGGCGCCCCCCCCACCCCCACACACTAGTTCACCAAGACGCAAACTCAAGTGAAGCGATCGATGGATGGCCAAAATGGGCCGATTTTCTATTCTGGGCAAAGATTGCTTTGGCTCATGTGCTCAGGCGCTTCACTTATAACTGCCACTGTCTCCAAAGGCCCCCCCAAACAAAAAAAAAAAGCCAATGGAAAAGCATCAAACTGACTTCATCCCCGGGCAGTTGTGTTGGATTCTTGTTTGTTGCACTCTTCGTCAAAGTCAGAGAAAAGTGGCAAGAACACCATCAAAACACACGCAACAAGCAGCGCCACGTCAGAGTGCGCGTCATTTCTAAAGTCAACCGCCACGACACTGCGAAGCGATCGTCCATCAGGGCCCGATTCCAAGCGCAGGGGAATGGAGACAAGGAAGAGCGCCACTCGGGGAGTGGCGCGAGGATGGCGCCGCGTTCATCTTGAAATGCAAACTGGCGCCTGGATTTCGAAATGTCAAGTGAAATCTCAGGCTGGAGACAGCTCAAATATGCGAGGGGGGGGGGGTCCCGGTCACCTGGTCCGAAACCATCGCCGCCGCGAGTGTCAAAGCGGGACGAGTGAGCGGGAGGTTATTTCCGGACGTGCGGCTTCCAATCGCTTTTATCCGCGACGAGTTTGCGGTGTCGATACGCCATGTTGATTTGCCTGCGCGTGTCTGTCAAGTGAAAATGGAGTTCGAGAATGGAAAAGTCACTGTGGCGTCCAAGCTACCGCTAGCTCTTTTTTCTAGTTATGTGATTTTGTTATTACGAATAAAATGCTATCCTAACACTCGAGCGCTGCACAGAACAGGAAGTTGGGAACAAAAGACCCAGGTTTGGCAGAAGGCCCCCAA